TTTGGAAAAGCGATTTATGCTGAACTATATAGACAAAAAAAATTCGGTATTATCATAACTCGCTCCATAAATGATTGGCACGTTTTATTTGATGTCTTATAATTTGGGTTCCTTAAACGATATTGCCTGATGTCAATTTTTTGCAATATCTTTAAATGGAAAAACCTCCATCACCTCCATCATTTCTGATAGTTTTGGCTTATTTTTGCTATAGTTTACAGAGGGTTTGGAAAAACCCGGGTTTTTGTAGAAAAATGCGGTGCGTTGCACTTTTCTGGTTATTTGCGGTTATTTGACGGTTTTTTGCAGGCAATTAAAAAGTACTAAAAAAAGAAATAATTCCCAAAGAACTACTTCGCACTTTCAGGGGTTGAATGCAATATAGCACGCCAGACTTCAATTGATTAGCCACTGGCTACTGCCAATATTTCTCAAATAAAAAGTTGTTCTTTGGGAAATATTTTCTTTTTTGAATTAAGAATGTCAGGGGAGTTTCTTTTCTTGGAATAAAATTAAAATGTACATTATTTTAACAAAAATCGCATTAAAAACGACCACTTAACATAATAAACTTTCAAAGCCATGAAGGTACATCAAGCAATGGTGCCTATTTTCAATCCAAAAACAACAAAAAACCAGAAAAGTGCAAAAATGCGGGTTTTCCTGGGTGCAAAAAACCACAAATAACCGGCACGGGTTTTTTGCGGGTGGTTAATTCTGGGAACCAAAGTTAGTGAAAAATTGACAAAAAATTTTCATTACCATATCGATTTTAAATTCGTCCATATTCCAATAACGCCATAAAATAAAATAATAGAACCATTTTGGGCTCATTGGTCGCTCGCAGCTGCATGGAACGTTATCGTTTTTGTCGTTTCGGCCACGCGTGCGATCACCAAAAGGAAGTGTCTTCTGAGATCACGCGGTGTAATAGTGCAAAGAGGATTTCCGATTAAAACTTGGCTTCAAAATTTTTCTGCACGCTTTCAACTGCTCAAAATGAAATACCAGCCAGCGAAATGTTATCTGATTGGGCAGAATCTTTTGAAAATGCATCACAATAAAATCACCTCTAGTAAAACACTTATAATTTTATGCCTGAAAACTTCACGCTGAAAATATTTTCTTGAATTTCGTGAAGGGAAAAATGGAGAGCAGGAAAATTATCTTCGCAGTAGCCACAAAACAAAACAATGTGGAATATTAACACTTTTATGTAAATTTAGGGGATTGGCCGAGCGGAGATCATGAATGGATTATACCGTTTTCAGTTTCAGGTAATTCGCGTACGCATTTCGTATAAAGGTGTTACTATTTTACTTTTATTTTGACCGACCAGTAGCTTCAGAACACAATAATTTTATCTAATTCTCTTACAGTGATTATGAAGTGATATGTTTATAAGTATTGGAGCAATTTTGATGGATAAAAAATGTAGCGTATGAACGCTCTGAGCCCATTATTGCGTAAAAAATGCTCCAACATCGTCCGCGCAGAGCTCTGCATACCGTCTCCGTCCGTCTCTTGCTAATTTGGTTAATTTCGTTCTTCGCCACAATTGCGGCGTATCGCGCTTGTTCCGCGGCCAGACAGGAGGAGAGATTTTGCCTCGGCTCACGCCATTTAAGTTTAACACGACGGACACGCCTGACACACGACTTCATATACGAGTGAAATATTACTCTTGCCGATATAATTCCATCTTGTAAATTGAGTAAGTACTCTTTAATGCAACTATGTAGATTTATGTCATTACGTGCTGCGTTTTTAAAACACAAAAGCCTTTTTAACCTTTTTAAAACAAAAATGCCTATATGCAGCGCAATTTGAATCCGCATCTTAATAGTAAAAAACTACATAATCCAAAATTGAATTAAATTTTTTTTAAAAACTATCGTAAAATTAGTTGGAAGAAAAATAGGCAATGAAAATCAAAGAGGTAATAAATGTGAAACTGCGGCCTAAGCTATACAAACAACAGAAAATAAAAATATTATTAACACGCTCTTAATTTGCAGTTTTGGGAAATTTTCTGCGCACACAATAATCGCTTAATTTATGCCAGCGGCAGGCCAAGTACGGCTGAGCCACAAAAATCCGCGGAGGCTGTCAAAAATTTTGAACGAAGTTTGATAGTGCTCGATAGCCCGAAGAGCTGCGGAAGCCCAATTTTTCCTTTGAATTTTCATTTTCATATTGGGGGCCGGGTATAGAATGAGCCGGTTCCGCCAGGGCGGTGCTCTCTGTCACTGTTTCTAATCGAAATTTGTAATTAATTATGGTAGGAATTCAATTGCAAGACCGGCCGAAAGATGAGAGAGACCAGTGACGAAGAGCACCGGCTGCTCCGCTCATTCCTCGGCAAGTGTGAATCGACCTTGGCCTCTATTTATTTCCCTTTCGCCTCGCGTCCTGATGGAACTCCCTAAATTTTGCGTTATATCTCAAAATAATATCCCAAAATTGTGTAAAAAGCATGTGTAAAACAAATTTGAACTTTACTTCCCCCGTAGTTTAGGCTGTAGTCGGGTATACTCCATTATGAGTTTCAGTAAGTTGTTCACCAGCACTGTGTGCCTATTTTTCTCCCACCCATTTTTTCATTCATGGTTCTTACTTGTTTGGAGGATAATTAATGAATTGAAAATTGAATTCTATCTTAATTTCCTCCCAGAATAGCCGTGCATAAAGTAAAGTTAGCCGGGGAAGACTACTGCCATTTCCGGCAGCTGGGCTAAAACGCCCAAACATATTCCATTCCATCCACGATTTGAAATATGACATCAAACGAAAATCCAAGAAAAGACAATTTTATTGAATTATTTTCTTCCCCCGGACCCAAATTTTAATAGCAATAAAATTCCTCCGATATTTTTTGAATTCAATATCAAAATATACTGCCATTCACGACCCTCATAACACGCGATGAATTTGAAATGTAGCTTACCCAATAAAAGCTTAGAGCCGTGAAAGCTCTAGTGTAACGATATGGGAAATTTCTTAGAGCGGTGGCTGCTCTATTGTATAGTATTCACCGCTCCAAGTTAATGCGGTTACAGGCCTGTAATTCTTTGGGCTTTTGTTGCAGGAATGTAGAAGACAGTGTCTTGTGCACAAGACTTCGGCGGCACCTCCTGTGCTCTGCGGGCAGCCGTGCACCAGCTATTCTATTCGCAGAAAGTCTCATAACGCTATTAGGCAGTGCACTAATTTTAAACATCCATTTAAATTGTCAACTATAAAATATTTTTCTCCTTTTGTTGACAAATTATTTGATTAAGTTATTAATCAGTTTCTAATTTTTGTCATAAAATTTTTTGTGAGTGTCCTGCTGCGGATTTCATTCTGCCAGATTGGTCCTCTTTTCCAGCTGGCTCACTACATCTGCTTTGTTCAATTTAATTTAATAGAGCAGGCCATGGCAGGCAAAAACTAAAATGACGCAACAACAAAATATCAAAAAAAGGCTGCTTGCACGTGTGCTTGAAATAAAATTGACACAGCACACATTATGTATGAACCGACGAGAGAGGACCGCAAGTAGTGCCACTAACACAATACGATTGGCTTATCGCACGTGCAGGGAGGGGCAAGCGAATTGAATCATGCGTCTGAAGCTTGGTCTGAAGTGTCAGTAAAAAGAAATAGTATTTCTGTTGCACTTGCTGCAGGTGGACAGGCGCACACTGCTCATCAGAGCTCGCATTCGGTGCTTAAGAAGTGCAACGCTCACTCGAGGAAGGACAACTTTGTAGAGAAAAACAGTCACTGATCTGAACATTTTTTTCGGATTTTGAACGCATTTAATTAAGGCGAGGGAAATTGTGCCTGGAGACTTTTATAACTGATGTTGATGTGAGTGGCATTGTACGCGTTTTAATTTGGCTCTGCACATGGTCGCGTTTTTTTTAGCTTCAATGCGTGAATGGTTATTATTCGTTTCATTTGACATAAAAAATTCAAAACGTTCTAGTTGTACATGCACATGTACAAAGCTGCGGTATCAATATAATTAGAATTTAGTTAATTAACTCGCTAACCTTTAAATCTGGCAGATAAATTTAGATACTTTTGCTTATTTTTGCTGTTTCTGCACTTTTTAATTGCTGTATTACAAAAAAATTAACCCAACATTCTGCGACACTTCATTAATTTTCCGTTTTGCTTTCAACAGACCATGGCCAGACCCTTCTATGTTCACATGAATGTGCCAGTTGGAAACGTGGGAGTTGGAATCGCACACCAGGTTGCAATGCAGCCCCTTGAGAATGTCGCACCTCCAATCCGCATAAAAGTTGCGATCCTGAGAGATTCAAGTAAACCCTTTCCTACAAGGTAACAGTAAAGGGAGGAAGTTTTCATCGGTCCTAGTGTGAAATGGCCTTAAATATTTCACGAAAACCTTCACAAATGCGGTACTAATATCATGTATTAAAAACAATTATCTTTTGTTCTGTATTTTGGATAATAAGAAAGGAAATGAATATTTTACATAAATTTTGTAAAAATCATATTTGTCATATTTCAAAGAGAAAATAAATTTTATACTCTTTAGATTTTTATATTTGTTTAATTTCTGATATATGAATGGAGAACATCACCTTCCGGAGCGGTAAACGATGTTTTTGAAACCTTTTGTTGCTTGTATATAGGTATGAAATTTTTTTGGTAAAAGTGAACATAAAAGATTAATAGAGGGCGGCGCAATGTGACGATAGCAAAGTGGTTCTTTTTGCTTGTCACAGATTTAAATTTTTTGTCTTTATCAATAGTGATTATCAATGTGAAGCAGTAGATAAAATTGTGTTTTATGTGAATTTATGTGAAGATATAAACAGTTTCATAAAGTAACGACTGTTAAAAAATATAAGTCCGCTGGAAGCGGCAAAACAGATTTAAATATATTATTTGGTTAGTGATAAGAAGTTGCACGTCTGCGGTTTTTTTTCTATTGAAAACTTTGAGCAAAAATAATTGATAAAAAAAAAGGGATATTTTACCTTTCACAAGCACGGTCGCAGTCGAGACAAGAATAGGCGCCCTCGGTGTTGATGCAAAACTGGCTTTTCCTGCAAGCACCGGTGAACTCGGCGCACTCGTTGATGTCGTGGCAGCCGAGTTCCTCCGAAGGGTCCCAGCCATCCTTGCAATCCAAACAACCTTTCGGTCCAGGTCCGGTGCACTTGTCCTTGCAGGCGATAAAGCAGGGTGAGCAGATAAGATTTTTATCATCTCGGAACGATTCGTAATATCCGTCGATGCACGAGTCACACACACTTCCTTTGTAGCCACGGTCACAAGCACAGGACCCGTCTCCGGAGCGAGTTCCGTCACCTTTGCATTTTCCGTTTCCATTGCAGATGCCGCCGGGGTGCTCAGGACAAGGCGTGCAGTCAGGGCCATAATGACCTTTGGGACAGCAAACCTGGAAAGAAATACGATTTAAAACTAATTTCCTTCAATTGTTTAATCGTTCCATTATTATTATTTTTTTTAAATTAAGGCTACCTTATGTAAACAGTTTCTTACAAAAGCTAGATTTATTTTTTTTTAAGAAGATTGCAATCTCATGGTCTCATTTAAAAAAATTAATTAACTTAGAAATAAAATATGTTATTTTACATTTAAATTATATTAAAATCTAACGCTATTACTTAAAGATTACAAAAACTTTATAATTAATCAATTAATTATTAAATATATTTCAAAAAATATAAAAATAGTTTAATGTACTTAGAAATAATTAAAACAAAAAACCAATGGCTCTAGCGGCCGTTGCGCTCTTCTTCGAAGGAGAGAGCGCCATGCAGCAAGTTGTTTGCTAGCGATGAGCCATTTCTCCATTCACCCCTCTAACCAACATTCTTAACATGTATTTTCAGATTTTTATAATTAAATTTTTTTATTGGCTTGATGTAAGATGTTGTGTATTTCATTTCATTGTATCTGAATGGAGAATATCATTAATAAATCAATACAAAGTTATATTCATAAATATTATAATATAATAGAATTGTGAACTCTAATTTTATAGCTATATTTTTAAATTTTATAAGTAATAATTAGCAATTACCCCCCCCCCCTTTCACGATTTTTTAATTTTTATTACCAAAATTAGCAAAAATTTGCCTAAAAAATTTTCCATTGATAATTAAAATAATATCGTTATTAATCTGGTAAAATTTGTGCCAACCTGCAGTTTTTCTTGGCACAACCAGTCTGTGAGATCGAGCTGTCTGTCCGAGGACCACCAATCGTCCACGAGCGGCTTGTTCTTCAGGGCGTTGGCCTTGCACTGGTGCTCGCCGCGTCCGATACCATCGCAGGTCCTGCGATGCACCTCCGTCAGGTCGAGGTTGCCGTCGGCTCCTCTGGCCGTCCCGTCCAATCTTTTACGAAAGGCCGTCACGTAAATTCTGCACGCTTCACACGGCGGCAACTTGGCCGCTTTGCTGGCCGCCTCTTCGTCCTTTCTAGTGGCGCAATGCGACGGCACCGCAAGTGCCAACACACAAAGGGCAAAGGTCACTGATTTCATAATCATTTTGAGCACAGATAACAATTTTAGAACGATTATATTGCAAATTATGTCAGTGGCTCTGCGGGTACCGAAACGAAACTAGCACCAAAATACCCCCTGTAGCCGTTTCCCAGCTGACAGGGTTGTTTTTGAGTTCAAGGTTCAAAGTTCAAAATGAAAACCGGTATTTATTTTGAAATCTAGAAGTTTTTTACTGAAGGAACTCGTATTTAATACAGGAAAAACTTGAAATAATCAGACAAAATTTAATTATAACGCATATACTTTACTTTTGCTGATAATTTTAATTTTACATTTTATTTCATCAAAATGCAAAAGTAATATAACCGGTTAGTTCATTTTCCTGTTAATTGTCATAAGATGGGGCGTGGTCGCTACTCGCTGTGTATGAAAGAAAACAAATTTAGAGCGGCACTTTCAACCCCTCGAATTCCAAAATAATTAAGCCAACTTTGTTTTACTGGCAGCAATTTAAGAAAAATTGTGGATTAAACTTGCAAAGTTAAAAATGTCAGCAAAGAGCTTGCCTCCGGAACAACAAAACCTACTTGATATGGCCATAAATTCTTCAAAAAAGCGATTTGAAGAACAGGAAAGGGACAAAAATACAGTCATATTTGCAGGAACAAAAGGCGGTGTGAGTTTTTTATTGTTTGAATTTTTCATTTAATTATTCTATTTTTAATTATCAGGGAAAATCAACATTGATTAATATTTTGCTGGATCGGAACGAACTGACAAAACCTACACTGGCAATGGATTATTGTTTTGGCCGCCGATCTGGCCGTTCACTGGTAACATGTAAAACATGAATGTTTTTGGTTTAAAAAAATAATTTCCATGTTTTAGTGGAGTGAGGTTTGCCACATATTCGAGCTGGGTGGTGGTACCATGTACACAGATCTCCTCACAGCACCGATATCAACCGCTAACTTGGCGCACTTGACGTTAGTTTTGGTTCTGGATTTGTCGAGGCCTAGTGAGATTTGGGACACCATGGAAAACATTACAACTACGGTCAGGTCCTTGGTAATGACAGCAGCTCAGACCGAGAACAAAGCAAGCCAGTTGAAGGATATGGCCAAATTGAGATTAGGAGAAAATTGTGTGGTATGATTGTGAATCTTAGTGAATTTTTAAAGTATAATTATGTTTGTCTATATTTTTTAACAGGATGAGCCATTTATTGAACCATTTCCAATACCTTTGGTGATTGTAGGTGTTAAATATGACATTTTCCAAGTAAATAATTATTTAATTCGTGGTAAAGATAAAACAACGAACAATAAAATTCTTAAATTATATCAACAGGACTTTGAAACTGAAAAGAAGAAGGTAATTTGTCGCTGTCTAAGATTTGCTGCTCTTTCTCTTGGTGCCTCGTTGTATTTTAGCACCACCAAGGATAGTGCAGTTGTGAAACGAATTAAAGAAGATTTGCTCCACAAGTCCTTTGATTCACATGCGTCGTATGTTTTATCTCTCCTTTTACAAACGCTTTGCAATAATGATTTTTTTTAGAAAAAATGTTTGCCAGGATGTATCTAAACCTCTTGCTATTCCCTGTGGAATCGACACTGTGCAGCTGATCGGAGGACCAGGAACGACTGTGACTTTCAAAAACTCTGCAATTGCTATTTCTCGGTGGAAGCAAACATGTTTGGCACTTTATCCATCTGACAACTCGGCACCGGTATCTTTGGATGTCGACCCAGCTAAGGACCCTAACTACTTGGAACCAGACGTCGATCAACTCCGAGAGCAAAAAGATCAGGTAAAACCAAATTTTATGGTTGTGATGTGAATCATATTTAATTTTTTTGAATTTCATCAGGAACTTAACAAGTACAGGCTGCATATGGCTAATGAAAGAGGGAAAAATCAGAAGAAGAAATTGTGAGAAAAAAAACATTGTGAAATGAAATTTGTTTCGTCTGTAATCTGTAAAAGTGTAAAGTGATCTCATTTATATATTTATTATTAAATTTAGTTACAGGAAAAAAGAAAGAAAGATGATTGCATATTCTAAATTCTTGATTTCAAAAGTTTAAATAAATTACACAATACTATTGTGGAGCTAAAAATTAATATTTTGTAAAATTCCTTTTTTTAAGCTCGAGGGGAATTTTGCTTTTAAGAAAATTTGGAAAATTTGTTACCAATAGAGACAAAGGAGTAATAACCTATGGAATTAAATCATGTCCCTTATTTGTGATGGTTAAAAACCGTAAATTTGCATTAAAAGTTATGAAAGCATCAAGGTGCATAGACCTTGGAAAGCATAGAACATAAATTTGTTATCATAGATTTAACGTTGGATTTAACCTATCTTATAATTTGAAGTACAAATTTCCGCCGGCAGATGGTACGCGTAGTACTGTGGCTGCTTCTGGCGGTGGTCCTGCCTGCTCCTTGCTCTGATTTTGCGCAGATAATTCTTCGCCGCTCCGAGTAAAAAGTGTGTTTCATTTGCTTGGAGAACAACATCAGTGGATACCTATTTACCTGCGTGTGTTACCAAAAAATCTCGCGTTTTGACCCGTAGATCGGCCCGGACCGAATCGTCGTTCCTCCAGGATCAACCTCCGGATCGACCTTCTTCGGCAAGCGACAGCAGGTGAGTTTCGTGGACCATTTTTAAAAGTCCAGGTGACAGGTGCAAGCAAGACAAGACGCCCTGCTTCTCTCATCAAAACAGAACACTTTGTTTTTCTCGCTGACAACAAGAACTCGGCACGATCGAATCCGACTTAATGGAAGTGACCTTTGAGTCGAGACGAGGGGTGGCACGCCCCGGGTTAAAATTGACCCCGGGCACTCAACCGCACAGCAAGGCCATCTCGGCGTTCTCCGTAGGTTTCTCGCAACTCCTCGTGCTTATAAGGCATTAATGAAAGGCTCGTGATTATTAAAATGCACGTCCACCGCGAATTGTAGCCACTTTCACTTTGCGTATTATTAAATAATCTGCTGCTTTTTCGGACGCGGTCCGAATTTTGCGTTGAGAATTCCGCCGGAGTTGTTTGGGCTCGTCGGAAATATTGATTTTCCGGGCGGGAAAGTAGCATGCTTGTGTGTGTGGTTTCGGAGCAAAGAAATATAATACAGAACGAGAGAGGCGTCACACAGGGAAAGGTTGTGAAAATCGAAAGCGATTGTCGAGATAAAAAGCCAACTGTGTCCTTTCAAAAAAATAAATTACACGCAGATTTGTGTTATACACGCTTATTATATTTGAGTAAACTTGAATTGTTTTTGTTAGTTAGTTAAACTTCACCTTGAGCTGCTGGAAAGTAATTTGCAAAGGTCAATGTACGCACATGAGGCGTAGGAAATTTCGTGACACAAAGCAATAAAAAATAAAACAAAAAGGTGAAAATTCGCATTTAAATAATAATTTTAAGCAACCAAGTTTTCTAGATAACTTTATTGATTTATTTTTGTTTTAAAAATTATGAAATAAATTAAACAAAATAAAAAAAAGACACATTTTCAAATTTAATTTTCTATTTTAATTCCCTTTAATATCTACTAATTAAATAGTTTGAGGTTTTAGTTTAGACATCAGCGACATCACAAGACTCTGTTCAAACAAAAACATCTTCCCGTGGGGTGGCGTGTGTTTGAATATAAATAATTAGCACAAACTAGTTTGCTTACGCGCTTCAATTTGCGCCACTGCAAAGTGCCCCCGCCGAGAGGAAGGCGAGCGACGTTTCATTAATTTTATTATGGTTGTTCTGCTGGCGCTGCATAATTAGTGGCAAGATAATTAATGCACACAATAACCGCCGTGTCTATTTGTGCAATTGTCATTGATGCTGATAGCGACAGACGCTTTCCTTTGATTGTTTTCGATGCTCTGCCATTGCCAGCGTCTGCATCCAAGCCGTCATAACAAATTTACTGCTTTGGCGTGCAAATTTATATTGAGCTTGCAAATATTTATTAAATTTGTGACCTGACATTGAAAATACTCAACATCCTCATTATACGAAAAATGGATGTTTATCTTTTTATTTTAAATTTTGGAAAGTATATATTTTTTTATTTCATATCCGTAGTGGCTTTTATATTATCTAACAGGAACAATTTCTATATTTCTTCCAAGTTTGTTAAGAAATATACAATTTTTTTTGTTTCAAAATTTTCTTTTGATTTTACTGGATTTAACTAAAACAAAAAAAATTTATATATTTTATTATCACTTCCTTATTGTTAGATATTCACACTGTTTTATATCTTATGAAAACAAATTTTGACACATCTTGAAACTAAAGAAAATGATCCCAGTATATATTAACTGAAAAGTCCTAAAATTATTGAGAACGACTTTTTTATGTTTTTATGAAAAATAATATTTTTCTCCATTTTACGGCGTCTTTTATGCTTCTTTACGGATCAAAAAGCCTCTTCTTTGCATAGTGGACGACGAGTTTCCTTTTTTTCTGAGCCGGCGCAGGCTCATTGAAATGAAACTGGCTATAGCTGGCTGGGCGGGGAATATTATGGGCATCAGATACCACACAATATGGTGACAAGACGGGCATACGAGCCAGGTCACAGACCCTGCTGGGTGCTCGAGTGTGTGTGTGCCGAGGTCACCGGAGCACCATATGCTCGCCACACAACAGCGCAGCTAATATTCTGATATTCTCCAGACTTTCCATAGCCAATCGTGAAGGCTGATTATTTAAATAGAAAATTTATTCTTTTTGCTCGAAACTTGTCTCATTTAATATTCAAAACAACGTGGACCTAATCGTAATCATGATCCATTTTTATTTTCCATTATTTAGAAAAATCAAATTAAAATAATTTAATATTCAAAGACCTTCCATACATTTTTGTATAAATTTTATATTTTGAAATGAATTAGATTGTGAATTATTTTTCCAGGATGCATCTGGGATGGCTGTTGAATGTCTCCTGTAACTGGCTATCCCCAAAATGAAGCAATAAATCAACCTCCTAAACCATCGTCTGAGTTCAATGTGAGTACCAATCCTAATCAATTTTAATGTTCGTTTATCAAATATCAAATAACAGAAACCTTTTAATTTTATTAAAAAAATTTAAGAAATTTTTTATATGTATACTGTTTTATTTATATTTAGTTTTTTCTATGCTAATCTGGTTTCAAAATATTTTTTTATAATTATTAAAATTCCAAAATATTTAATATTTATAAATTCAATTCATTTATTCTCTCGCAACAAGTCAAACAAAAATTATTAAAGATTTCATCAAAATTAGATTATGAAATTTGAACCAAACTCTGAAAAATGGTTTGTTGCATAAATGGGCAGCGATTGATCAGTCAAGCAATTTGATATTATGGTCAAGGTACTCTGGATCAATACAAGAGTCAAGCTGTGATAGGAAATCGCAACCGCCTGTTATGAATGCAATCGCCTGACTTCTCTACATTAGAATAGAGCAGGAAAACGAGAGAGCACCTGATTTTTTATGACGCCGGATGTCTTTTTGGTTCCGATGAGAATTATAACCGAAAATCGGTGGTGCAGCAGGTGTCTGAGATTTCTCAAAAATCAAACCGTCATTCTTTCTCTAGCGAATATAATCTCTTATACATGCCCACGGAAGTTAGTTTTCTTATGGAGAAATTTTTGAAAATTGTCACAGCATATTTAAGATTTTGTAACAATTCTTTCTTGCTGATATCATTGTTTATTTTTTTTTTAAATTAAACAATTACTAGGACAGCATTAAAACAAAAATTGGGAAATTCTTAAAAATTATAATAACTATGGAAATTGAGGGGAATGGAAGACGAACACTGAAAATTGTTTTCAGTTTGAATGATTATTATTAAATTTTACTCTAATATAAAATTTAAAAAAATTTTAATAATAGATTTTTAAAGAAGCACAGAATAAATAAGAAATTCCAGTCAGGTCAAAATCAGATCGTAAAAAAATATTGATTTTTTTTCTTAAAAAGGATAAAATAATCATTGGGAATTTTGAATTGGAATTATGTTTAATCCAATTAATATTTTTATAAAAAAATGTTATTAATGATTAATTTTTCTTCATGAAAAAATTGATTTTTTTTATCTTTTCTATATTATCCGCAATTGTCTGTAATGGTCTTATTGAATGTAATTGAAAATAACATTTCTGGCTTTTAATATTATTTACAAGCATAGAGTAAGATGTAAATCAAATAAAATCATAAAACAATTGTTAAAAAATTCTACCAAATCTAAAGAGTCACGCCGTTTTCCCATCAAACTTTCGGCCGGGATGGTGGTTGCATGCGTTTGTTTTGAAAACCGTTACCCCACCCTTGCCTCCGCGCCGCGATTACCGCGAATGCACCATTATAAAAATACGCGGCGCTCGCGACATCACAATACAGAGAGCTGGGAAATTTCTCATACCCCCCTTGCGGCTCCCCCCTCCTGGCTGGCTGGTCAAAGCAGGCAAACGGCTGCTTTTTACTCACCTCGCCGATTAGTTCTCGGTGCATGAGCTGAAGGTGAGCCTCGGTCTAGGCGCCCTAAAACAATTAAACCGGAATCGACCGCCGCCCCAGGACGCACCGGCGTTCAAGTCTCCGACGCCCGAAGCCTCCGGAGTGCCCAAGTGCGGAACTCGGATTTGTCCAAAAGTGCCACGGTTGGTGAAATGCGCGGCTGATTCGGATCCGCGAGACCGTTTCAATCCAGTGTGCAGTGCGATTTGGAGTTTAAAATTTTTTAAAAAATAAAAAAATGGGCGCCGCCAATTCAGCGCCGCAGCACGAGCCCTTGGGCCGCACCAGGTCCTTCGCCCATGGCCGCAGCAGTTTTCGTAGCCCCAACAAGGTATGTGACCGGATAGCCTTGAATTCTCTCACTCTCTCATCTTCCCCTCCGCGCCGCGACCAACAACACTTTTACTTACCTGGTCTGGCGGCGGCTCCATTATGTTATTTCCACACGATCACGAGAGAGAGAGAACCCGGCTGGCTTTTTTACCTATGGTGTGTGTTGACGATCGTGCGCGGCCTTCGCTGAATTATTATTACGTATTCTGCTCGGATCGTTCGTTGCCCACGGAATTATTGTTTTACTGCCCCAGACGATTCGTTTCAGCGACGGCAAAATGCTGCGAATCGAAAATGAGCTTTAGCTTTTATTCGCTGGAGCGAAAAAGGAAGGAATAAGAAACTGATCTTCTAATATAGTTGAATATAAAATTTTCTCAACAATATCAACTCGATTCTTGAATTTGGAACATAATTTAATTTTATATAATGATTAGGAATTAGTTAAATTATAAATAAATTAAATTTAAATTAATTTTTAATTATTAAATTTGAGAGTAGAATTGAACACTCAGGGAGACAATCAAAGATATTATTCTAAAAAAAAGGTCATAATTCATAATCATGTCATGGTCTTGGCAAAGGTTATAAAATCAGCAAATTTTAGAATCAAAATGTATGAAATTGGTGGCAAAAAATGATAAATTTTGAACTATTCAATTTGATACTCAAAGCGCTTCTAACATTTATTTACTTGAATATTAGTTGTTCAGTAATTTTTATGCTATAGGATTGTTGAATTTGATGAATCATGGAGGAAAGTGCAATCTACTCGAAAGGTTCAAAACGCTCTCCCATTATTAATCAGCATTCAGAAAATCATCCTCTGCACCGACGAGTCATTCCGCTCGTTTCTCGTTTGCGGAAAGTGAAATTAACCGATGATATCACTGGCCTGTGTGTCCCAGTGACGTCACTTGGAGGATTATTTTATTCAAATCTGCAGCAGTGCTGAGCTTTTCGAGTCACACCCACTTGCGAATCTGCCTCTATAATGGCCTCGTGACCCTCTCAGCCGAAAAGAAAATTAAGCAGAGAGAATAGAAAACAAAACCAAGGGTCCCTTCCAAACCGCACCAGCATGGCTTTTGCAAAATCTCACCTTTCACGTCCCTGCTGAGAGAGAATTTGAAACCAAGCTTATTGTTAGGTGTTGTTTAATTTCCATCCGCGCCTCTTTAACTTTTGACCCTCTGTCAATCATGAATGTCGTTTTCGTAATGGGATGCTTCAAATTGTCTATATAATCTGGACAAGCTGCTCAGGTGCATATTTAGAAGGAAAGATAGCATCTCTGTAATGGGTGCATCTGATTTGCCTGTGATGAATTAATGTGTTCACCAAGGCGGAACTGCTCAGGATGCACAACAACAGATGGATTTCCTTTTTTGATTAATCGTGTTTTGCTAGTTTTATAAAGTTGTTTTGGACAGAAAAAAGATTTCATTTTATAATATTTATTAAATTTAATTACATAAATCAGATCATTATAACTTCTTAAAATATATTTTCACATTGAAAAATTTAAAAAAATCTTTTATGTAGTTTTTTTAAGAAAAAATGTTACAGAATTACAGTCTTAAATTTAAATTTATTCAATTATTGATGATTGCTTTAAACTTATTTTTATTGGCACTAGTTTTAAAATTAATGAACTAAAACATTTGAATGTTCTTAATAAATACATTTTCTTTCTCTTCGTCTGTTCCAAACTTGTACTTTTCTTTATGCAAACCTGGCCATTCTAAAGTTTTGCAAACTGCCCTGCCCCAATTGAAACAGCAAAAGCGTCGGATGTTTGACGAATGGTTTTGAAATCGCGTATAAATAATTGAGAAGGATGTGCAAGGTAAACAGAAGAAGCGTACAGAATCGCCGCATATATGCGCCGTCGGCTGATAAATATAGCGAGTTGAACGCACTTGACATTCCACGTCGGTTGTCCGACTTTGCGGGCGTACTCCTTTCTTTCACCTTTCAGCCACTGCTTTCTCTCCATTCTCCTCCTTGTAATCACGCACGTTGTGTTATAAAAAGTCGCTCAAATTACTCATTAACTGATCGGAGACTTTTGTCCCAATTAACCAACAGGGAAGTGGAGAGCTTATTAAGAGGAAGAGCGAAACTCGATAATAGTCGTTGGAACACGTGCCCAAAATTGCTGTTTGCCTCCCACCCCCATCACCGGTAATGTTGCAGCTGCTTTTTATTCAGCACATGCCTTGCGCTCAACCTTGTGCGGTGCACGTCACTTCCGCCTCTAGGGGGTAGGTAGTATCCTATTCCGTAAAAGTAGCAGAAAGGTGTGCTTCCATCCCTGGAGCATTTTCTCCTGCACATCTGGCGCTGCTGATAGAGAGTATATTGTAGGCCAAAAGACAGAAAATAGCATAAATAAATTTATGGATTTTATTTTTAATAAAATTTTGAAGTGTCATTTTACAATAATTTAACTACGCTAATTGATTATAATCTCATATATCGTCTCTCTTTTTAAATGTTTAATTTCCATATTTTTTTTTAATGGGTTGAAGATTCGACTGACTCCGATTGCAACATAAACTGTTGTAATAAATGTCATTTTATGGTCCTTTGTCAACGCATGTAAATATGAATCATTTTACCAGTTGAGTGATATTCTAAGCATCTTTTAAAGCACCGGGGCCTATTAAAGAAATGAAATATCTGTGCTTTTTATCTCCCGCATTTGTTTGCTGCCGCGGCATCAGAGCCCAGGTGATAATGGCGCATTGTTTTGCTGTGAACCGAGCTTAAGTGCACTCCAGGAGACATTCCTTAATACCTCCTAGCGACTCCCTGGAGGAATGGATGTGTCGACGGCGCTCATGCATGTTTATTTCGTCTCTTCTTTTATCACAAATGTGTGCCCATTGCTTTCGGCTGCACGGCCACTTTGCCGGCTGAAATTTACGAGGCAACCCCTGAGGCGCCATTTAAATGTCTTATTAGGTGTACCATTGGTTGTCAAGAGGCGATTTTGCTTTATTTCAGGGGTTTTTTCTCTATCTATGCGAAAAAAAGCTCGTAAATATTTGGAGTGAAAAACTGTCAGCAGTTCAGTTGAGTAGTTGAAGGGCTCATTTGTAGTTATATAATTGCTGATCAAATATTCATAAATCAAGGCGTATGATTGCTAAAGTTTGCCTTGAATAATTTGAAAGAGGAAATTCTGTACGTGCCGTGCATATTGTACAATTGTGCGGCATAGAACAAGCGGCGACGAAAAGAGTTAAAAGTTTAGCGTGGCCAAAGTTTTCAAGTAGCAAAGAATAGTTCGCAAACCTTCACCCACTTTTCGGCGCTGCGGTTTGGGATAATTTGATAATGATTGCCTCCAAGCGTGACATCATTGAAAAGTTTTATTAAACTTCTCTCGGACAAATTAATACTGCTTTTGCGGTTTTTTAATTTTTTAAGTAATCCACATTATACAAAAAATTATACATTAGATTTGCAGTTTTACTCCGAATTGAAAATTAAGAAAATGAAATGAATTTTTAATTTATTATTTAGAAAAAATTAATGGTACATCGGTCGATGAGAACCTGCGATGAATTAAACTGACAGTGTTTAAATAGAGCTCAATCTAAAGTGGCCATTATCATCCTGATGGGAACGCAGCACATATTGAGCTCAATAATTAATCAGATCAAATACCAAGTGACGCGTGTGGCAAATCCACTCGACAAACACTCTCGTGAGCGCATCACATTGATTCAATCAAAAGACATATGACATCAATCCAATGGCCCACTTAATCCCACCCACTGCAGCTCCGGATTAATAAAAAATAAAAAACTAACAAATGGCCTGTTAATTGCAAGGGATCCGCAGCAACAATGAGAAATTTGAATGCAAAAGCATCAAGTGCCATTGCCCTGGTGGCGGATAACAATGCCGCATATTATTTTCACACGCACTCCGGGGTAGTCGGTGCATTTATTCTGTGTGCATTTGATATAGGGGAGCGTGAGAATCGGCCGGCCCGACCCTCGAGTATCCCACGATCTACCCCATCCCCTTCGCCTTAGCTGGACTGACTGTTCGCGCGACCATGCAAGTTGCTTGATGTCAAATCTTACTGTTCGCTCCTTTCGCACGGCAAAAAATTTAATGAGAGGGAAAACGAAGATGCATCTCCGAGTGCATTCTCACACGTGGGTTGGTGAGATAAATTTTTTTACGTGGTTTTTCGGAAGCACTGCTGGGAAAGTACAGGAAAAAGGGGACACAAGCGATATTGTGCCGGTTTGATTTGAATACCTGCTTCCTCTTTTCTGGCAAATATTTTTTTTGTCATTCCCTTACTTACTAATAATAAAAAATTGGGATGAAACTTTCAAATAAAATTTTTGACAAGATGCAACCAATTATAATTATTAAAGGCACTATTTTTATTATTTAAATTAAATGTGAATTTTTTTTCCAAAATTTTCTAATATTATGAACACATTCATTAAATTTATTTTTTCTAATATAAAAACGAAGTACAATTTTTCCTTTGATAATTATATTGTTTATTCTACTCAAGTCATACACACACAAAATTAATTGGAAAAAAGAGCTCTGTCAATTTATGGTTATCAATAATTGAATATTATAGTTTTATATTGTTGAAGTTGTTTTTGGTAATAATCAGTAATAATGAATTCTAAGGTAATAATAATCAAATAATATATATAGAGACCATAAAACCCAATCAACGCCAGTTTTGCTCTTTCCAGACAGCCGACGAAAAAGAAAACCAGTTTGCAAGGCTGTCTGATCTTTCATCTGGAAATCGAAAACCACTTTTGCGATCGAAATCCGGAATGAAAATTGTGCGGTTTGCCAAGGAAAGCGAGCAAGATTCTCGCATTTCCGAATCCACATGCGAGAGCAGATGCAGAGAAAAAAGAGCAGATGTGTGCGAGTGTGGGGAAGAACGGCGAAGGCTTGTATACCTGCGCAGCCCCCGCATTTAAAGGAGAAGGAGGG